ATATCTAGGAAAATAACCTGCACCTCCTTCCCACAATCTAAAGCTTTACCAATATCATTTGTAATAGTCAATAGTTGATTTATAGCAGAATCACCTCTTCTAAAACCCGACTGGTGTTCGGTGAAAAAAGAAGAGTCTCGTAGAAAATTATACACATGTTTAAAAACACACCTTTCCATAACCTTTCCTATTATACTAATAAGGGAAATCGGTCTATAATTTGAAACTACACTAGGGTCGTCTTTTTTAAATATAGGAATAACATTAGCCATTTTCCACATTTCGGGATATGATTGATTCGACAGTGATTTGTTAAAAAGACTACAAAGAGGCCCAATTAACTGACGTTTACCTTCTTTTAAAAATTTCCCACTTATTAGGAAACGTTTCAGAAAACAACTCGTGTATGAATTAAAGTATTTTCAACGTGTCCCACAGATTTTTCTTCACTGTAATAATTTATAATAATTCGGTCCGTTTCCGTCCTGTGTTTGTAAGCTGTCTGTTCGAATTAGATTATGTGAGTATGTGTGTAAACATTCCGATAAAACGGGGAGATAGAGTCACCCACATAACGGACAGATAACATTCATAACTTCACGGTGTTGTTTCCCAATAGCTTAGGAATGTGGGCTTGAACATATGTGAAAAAATGTGTTCGACGTTTGGCATAGAGAGAATTTTTTTACTTAATTATTTCAATTTTATTTTCGTTTATATATTTTTTTTATTCTTCCAATACCTGCCGTATAGCATCTTTACTGTTCTGTCCATTATTTCCAGAACAACAATAAAATAAAAATAAAAAAACTATTAGTATCTGAGTATTATTGTATCGTGTAATGTAATTTGTACTGATAAGACTTGTTTGTTTGAAGTTTAAAAGCGGTTTACCTATGCTTTTTTCAATTAATGGTCTTACATAGGAATTCCAATTTTCTAAACTTTGGTTTGTCTAGATCAGGGTTCAAAAACCGTAACTCACTTCAATAGGGCTGACGTTTGAGATAATACAAGTGATCCTACCTCCTCTGTCAGAGCGATGGGGACAACGAGTACAATTTTTACTCCCGCTTGCAGGCCAATGTCAACACTGTTCAGGTGGCTAGTGTCGGCATTGTTCGGAAATCTACCATGATAGCTTTAAGTCAGAAACTGAATTCTGAGGAACGTCCTCCCCACCCATTCAAAACTGTGGTATTTTTATTTATGCAGTGTGGTATTTGCGTTTGTGGTTGTAGCCTCCTTGAAATAGCTGACTGCCGTAGTGAACAAGATACGGGAGGAGCACCACATACAGTCCATTGAGGCTAAGTGCATACAAGCACAGACCGGTCCGTAGTCGAAGAATTTTGATGAGATCAAACCAAACAACAAACAACAGATCTTCACCTGTGCTTGGAAAATCCGATGCTTTGAACTCTCGCTTCACATGCAATGAATCTATACATAACACAAACGAAAAAGAATTTTAAAAATATTAAATTTTAATTACCAATCTCTCATTACACAAAGGTACACAAAATGGCAATATTGCGCTCTGTTGTATTCAATACAAAAAATATTGAAAGGTGTTGATACACACGTTTCTAGGCTCAGCTGGTCATAACTTTTTGCCTGAAAATCCTCAAAAGAATCAATTGAACACAGACAAATATCAAAACGTCACATGATGACATACATATATACTAAATTATTATCTATTACAGCAGTATAGTATTATCTATTACAGTAGTATAGTATTATCTATTACAGTAGTATAGTATTATCTATTACAGCAGTATAGTATTATCTATTACAGTAGTATAGTATTATCTATTACAGTAGTATAGTATTATCTATTACAGTAGTATAGTATTATCTATTACAGTAGTATAGTATTATCTATTACAGTAGTATAGTATTATCTATTACAGTAGTATAGTATTATCTATTACAGAGAGACAATATCAAGAAGATAAAATAGCTGTGTGCAAAAAGTTTGGAAAGCACGGAACCTCTCTTTAATCCTCAAAATATATTATCTGCAAAGCATTAATCACGTTTAGATAAATAAAAAATCCTACTTTATAGTGCTATCACACTGAAGCATACAGCCAGAAGTTCCCCAGCAGAACAATGAGATGGAGATTTATATAGGTTGGGAATGTAGAACTGAAACACTGTGAAGTATAGCCTGCTCCAGATGACTAATTTGGAGATTAGAAAATAACGATGTGATTCTTTCCACACAATATTGATACATAAAATTATCCAAATAAACAATACAAGACGTACATGGCATGCTACTACATATGCTATCATGAACACGCTTACCCTTCCCGAACAGATGGTCTTATTCTCCTTGTACTTTTTCCTGACATCTCCACCCCTCTCTTCCCATTGTTTTGTTATTTTATCCTGGTTTCATCGAATTTGAGTTGCGTTAAGATTACATTCACATGTCGAATTCATTGGAATTTTTTTTGTTTTTTTTTTTTGTTTTTTTTTGTTTTTTTTTTTGTGTGTGTTTTTAAAAAAATTTTTTTTTTTTGCTTTTTTTTTGTTCGTTACAGGATAAATACAGAATACCCAACAAATGCAAATGCTTCTATATACAAGCATTTAAAATTCTTTCTGTGTATAGTAGTTTCACAGAAATATTTTAGCCAGAACATCCCAAATTCTTTAAAAAAGGAAATGACAAAAACAACGACCAAAAGATTAAATGTGATTATTATGCAACGTATACGTAAATGGGAAAAATCCACTAGTTAATAAAATGGGGAAATATACACCAAAGTTCTTTTCACAAAATGACAGCTGTAAAAAAAACATTTTTCATGCACAGAAACGACTATGACATCAAGAAACTCTTATTTGCAAAGTTTAATCCAGAGATAAACATCATCCGTTAATTGATACACTAAACCTATTTTGTACGAAAAAGATGAAGAAGTTTGTTGTCCTAGAGTATATTATAATGTATAGAGATATATTAATTTATAACCTAAACAACTTGTAAGTAATTTTTTGGAATTTAAAGATCGGTTTCCGCGTACTATCGTAGTTACTCTTATTCGTCTTGGATATGCATTAATGCCATTTGATTGAATATACATGCATATCAATTTGACTCTGTAAGGTAAATCTCCCAGTAATGAAATGGACAAGGGGAAAAGAAAACATTCATATATATAATTTGAGACAGATACATTCAGTATTTACAAGAATTAGCATGACAAACATTAATTGTCAAAATCCAAAATGGCCATCTGTTGGCCATCTTGTCAAAAGGAGCAATGTACAACTAGGGATCAAGGTAAACCTATATCTTAAGTCTGGGAATCTTTTGAACATTTCCAGATATAGCAATTATAAACTATTATTGTCGAAATCCAAAATAGTCGTCTGTCGGCCATGTTGTTTTTCGGATCAGTCGTAATATGGATAATGCACAACTAGGCACCAATGGGGATTACACTTAAAATTTGGATAAGGTACAAATACTACTTCGCAAGAATGCCAAAAACGAGAATTTATTCAAGGATAGATGGACGACTGACCGCGGACGCAGGACATTTTGAACAACCCACCATCTGATGATGCCGAGTTAAAAATACCGTGAATGTCCCTTTAACGAGATCTGATATTGGCTGAAGTTGATCTCGTTTTCTCCGAGTCCGATCTCTGTTTTGTAGAGCAAATATCACGATAAAATCTAGTCACACGATTATTACACGAAAAGCTAAGTGTCACAAATATTCCCTGTAGACTTGAAATGTTTTCAGACAATATCAAAAGGATTTCTGACTGAACAAACATGGCAAAGATACTGAAAATCCAACTTAAACCCATCATGGAGGAAATTTTGATTAAAAGGACTGTTGATGATTGGCTAGCTTCAGTACTGCTAGATATTGATGTACTTTGTATGTAATGAACAATCAAAACAAACAAAACCACGTTACCGCACAGAAAAAAAAATATGGGAATTACAAAAGACAAGAGTAAAACGTACGTATGTGTAATAAAACAAATATCTCCCCCATACCATGTTTCCATTGGCGATAGAAAAATATTAGATAGTTTTGTCCCTAAAACAATAGAAACATTTAGTACGAAACCAACAAAACAATACTGAAAAGTTTTCCAAAATCTTTCCGATCTGGGAATGGTTTTCAGACTTCTTATTTCGGAGTTTAGACGAAACGAACAAAGAAACATGAATATAAATGTACCAACCCATATAAAATGATGAAACACGCCAATCCACTCACACCAAGCACTCCCAACTGTGATGTGAGAAATTAACACGAAACTGATCTGCGCAAATACTAAGTACGTCATCAATAGAAACAGAAGCTCCGATTTGCCCTGTCGTATGACCGGGATAACACAATACTGTATCAAGGAATATATGAGAGATGCTATTGATAAACTTGTGCATGTCGTATTGGCAATGTATCTGTAATATACCAAGGTTTGATCATTTTCCTTTATAAATTTATATTTCGATAAAAATATTTCAACACAGATAAAGTAATTGCCGGTATTGAAGAAAACGTCCATTGATTCAATTGTCGTTTCATTTAGATAAAAGTCTTGCCTATATACTGTGTTACTGTTATTAGGAATATTACTATCTAAGTAAGGATTTTCAGTGTGTTTCGTTTGAGGGTATACCCTAACTGCCGGACATGGCAGGCTACTTACATGCGGAAACTGATGCAATACATATTGGGGATTTTTGAGCGAGATGTTACATTCACAAAATGATTTCATGACGTCATCGACATGATTAAATAAAATACCATTGGAGAAATTTTGCTGATAGTTTCTTATCAAATTAGTAACCACTAATCGTTTGTGTTCAAAAGATACATTACTACTAAGTTTTTCCTGAAGAATATATTGAACTTGAATTAAGGAACAAGGTTTCAAAGAGGTCACGTGATATCCTTTTATGAATTTTGTCCAGAATTGCATGTACACTAAGTCGGACATTGTAAGTGTTATACTGTCTAAACCTTTGGCAATTTTTTCTAATACGGTATCAATAAAATGGTTGAATGTAAAGTCACGGTCGATTACAGCGTTAGATTCAAACAAAAGATCCAGCGGTATGCCTCTCGTCTTGTACCTAATGGCAGTACACCTGCCTCCATCTGCCTCCATGTCCGTAGGACAGAACAGGGTCCGACATCCAACCTGATAGACAAAAAACAAAAAAGCAAAATATACAAAATCCTATCCGTTCACCTTATGTTTGTACCCTTCTCATTTAATGGGGAATTAATATGAGATTAATAGGGGGCGTCACAGGTCAAATTTATCAAACAAGTTTGACTATTTTACATGGTAGCGTGGAGAATTCTAGTCTTTTCTAGTCGTATAAGCTATTAATACCTCGAATGATTGCTTTATTTTTAATCTAAGTCTACGTTCATTGTAGGTAACCAAAATTATTTTTAATTTCAAAGCCTTGTGAAATTGCAATATCTTTACACACAAAACGTTATCCTTTATAAACATTTCTAGGACATAAGATGTTTAAAAAGTCAATGTGTATATTTTAACACATACACTGCAAGTCTTACCTTATCTGATAGAAATATTTCCATTTCGTTACAAGGTGTCTTTTTTTCATGTTTAATGAATAAGGAAGAAACATCGACGAGACTGCTAATTGTAGTGGCGACAGCCTCTGATTTTTCCACAGATGGCAGCAAGCACAACACCATTCCTCTCTTCAGAGAATAGATCGAATAAAGATCATCATCTTTGAAGCATTGCCAGTTCCTGAAAACTTTTGTTTTCATCACATGACTAAACGAAAACGGACTTAGAACCCGGTTTTCACAAGACGTAATTTTAACTTCGTTTAGGACACTCCATAGCATGTACTTCAACTCTCGAAAACAATATCTTACAAAGATATCCTTTGAAGGCTCAAATCGGTATTTACATTCAGTATTGTTCAATTTCAACATAATTGCATCTTTTAGTGACGCAGAAAATGGAGAGTCATCTAACGTAGCGTGGTTATTACAGGTTATGTTCAATAGCCATGGAACCCAGTCATGAACGTTATGACATAAGGCACAATGTCGGTTTAGGAAATTTATATTTGTATTGATGTCGTGCACGGGTATCAGGTCCAGGAATTCTATGACGGTCTTCTGTTCGCATTTATATTTTACGATTTTGTCTCCTTTCCATGACGTTGGGCAAGCTGACACCATAAAAGCGCCCAATTTGCTAGGAGTCTTTTCCTTAAAAGATATCTGTTCACATCTAGTCTCCCTAAGGAACGGGAGTGGTGTTTTCTCTATATCATCAGCTAAAGTGATTTTTTCCAGTATTGTGTCTGCATCAAAACAGCAATCATCGTAGTATACACATAACGGATCGCAGTGGCAAGACAAAGCTAGACTGTGAGGACTTTTACACGAATGATACTTAGCGTGGCATGATTTATTAAAGGAAGAAAATGAGATGTCCATGTTCCATGTTGAATACGACATTGGTAATAGGAACAAGACGGTAACAAGTAGATATTCCGTTTTAAGAAAATAAAAGGTATTTTCCATATTTGTTTTCAACATTGATAAATGTATGTTAAAAGGCTAATTATACATTTCAATACAGAACTTTCGAGTATTTCTGTGAATTGTGTACCATACCGTGTGCTCCTAGAACCGATCTGGAATAGAAAAAATGCTTCATATTTATATCAATACAGCTCAACATAATGTTTTATCATCATGGTGTTTCAAATTGTCTTTTCTACATGACTTGCTTTTCTACCATTATTTGTACATTAAAAACACAAAGAACACATAAAAACGATTAATAATCATAAAATTTGGTGAATCGTAAAATCTACACTAACGAGCACTTATAAAATTCTTGATTACTTCAAATGTAGTTTCCTATAAAAACATCAATAAAACATATCAATTTTGGTCAGTTATCTCTCGATAGGACCGTGATTGTACCTTCTGCTTGTAAACTCATTCTCACTTAGTTTAATCATTTTTTTTTTCTTAAAAAATACTTTGTAATTGTTTATCCCGTAGATCCTTCTTTCACAGACTTGTAGGACATTTGACATGTACGATCAAATGCCAGGCCATGTCTAGTGGATTAAAGACGAAAAGGGTTGTTTATTAAAAAGACAAAATATGAAAAACAGTTCATCTATATTTAGTCGCCTCTTAAGATCATGCAACAAGAACAACAAGTACAATTCTTAAGTCTCGTTTCTTGGGGAGTGTCAGTAGCGCACTGGAGTCTGGAAGAATGGAAAAAGAATCCGAAAACTATTTCCCGAGAAATGCTTTCTTTTCATTGCAATTATACTTTAAAACGAAGACGAAGAAACCAATGGGTATACTAACTAGGATCAACATTGTCCTACTTTCTATCGCATAAGGAAAATAGGACATTATCCAGTGAGATCATTACGAAAAACATCAAGAAGATATTAACATTTCAACATAATTTAAGTCCAAATTCAAATTCCATAAAACTAGGGCAAATTATAAACAAAAGAAAGATTTACATGAATGCTCTTGAAAAAGTAAAGTATAAGAATAAGAGAAAGTGTTCCGGAAGAGTAAGCGTCTTCTGCTTCATCGACGACCCACGGCCATGTTTACCTTGGTCAATCCAAGTAAGTAATGTCACGTTTTCAAATAAGAACGAGGTATACAATAACGGAACCAACAGACACACTAACGAACATCAAACACATCCAGCACATATCGCACATTGAGATAGATCATTACTCAATGAGATCACTATGACGACAATAAAACTTTCCCAACCTGCATCTTTTGAAACCCTGTCTTACGAATTTGTCCGTCAACTGCCAATTCTTGCACCGAAATCGTGATAATGGGAACTGGCTCTTGAATATCAGATCAACTGCGACATGTACACACGAAGGTTGAGGATCCCGGAATATCATGAAAAGGAAAAATTCTCTCGGAACCTTGTGAATTTTCTCTGTCAATTATCGGCATCTTGAAGATATAGGTAGTTACTTTTATATTGACTGACTTCAAGATTCTTTCGTTTAAAATCGCATCTACACTCGTGACTAAATTGATAAGATCGGTTAGTTTTACTGGTTAGACCAACATGAATTCTTCGTTGATGAAATTACTTCTAAATGACAAATGTGATGTAATCTCGACGGATTAATTGTTGACAATATATAGGATTTTATTCCAGTATGACTTGTTTTTCTGAGAAATAATCATCATAAGAACGGATATCGGGGGAAAAAAGTATAGTGAAGTTATTGTTACAAAACATCGTGTAGGTGGTTCCTTGGATTTCATGATTAATTATTCTCAATGAATCACCGATGACCTGTTCCTTTTTAGTAAAAATCGAAATAAATTTGCTTTTTGTAGAGAGCCTAACGCAATTAATTTGTTGGCTGTTGACAATTTTAATATCGATTGTTGAGTCTAAATAAGTGCCATACTTTAGCTCCAGCTCCGTGTCTTCGTGTAAATCTTTCTTTTGTTCATGTTTTGCCCTGGTCTTACTGAATTTGAGTTTGGATTATGATGGTATTCTCATCTTGATATTATCGTGTTGTTTTTCCTTACGAAACTACAGAAAATACAAATATGCTGAAAAGTATCCGTTTTCGAGAATTACCCTATTACTTTAGTTTTGTGAATAACGGACGATTTGTAGATGTCCGATTTGTCTCATGATATTTGCAAGATTATATATGCAAAGAAAATACCGACAATATAGCAGAATCTGAAATCAAATACAAATTCAATAAAGATAGAGGACTATATCAGCACAAGACAAATATCTACAACAAGAGTCCCGAAACTGTACAAAGGCTGTAACACCAGGTATTCCGGAAAAGTAAGCTTCTTCTGCTTCATCGAAGACACCTGCCATGTAGTGGAAGTAAGAATACAAATATCCATCAAAGCATTGATTAGTTCAACCACGGACTTATATACACATATATGTGTATATAAGTCCGTGGTTCAACAGTTTACAGGGTTACAGTTTGCCTATCATTTAATCAACATGTTCGTAATAATAGGCAAATAAAGGTGTTCCAGAAGGGTAAGCGGACGTCTTCTACAATGATATCTTCATAATATTAAAGTAATGTTAGTTGATCTAAGTATGTAATGCCATGTTGTTGAATTGCAATGATCATTATACTTTGAAGAAATCATGACGGAAAATATACCCGCGTGGAAAAAGCATACTGTTCAGTTGGTTGATTCAGGAGGGCACAATTTGAGCTTTTTTTTCGAGAACGGCTTAAAATCAAATTGAAATTGAAATGCATAGCCCGTTTTATATAAAAAAAAACACCAGTTTTGTTTCATATCTTTAAGATTGATAATTGAGAAAAATATACTATACAGGCCATGATTATGATAATCTAGTTTTCAGTTTTAAAAACGTCAAAAAATCAACTTTTGACAGCAAAAATATACATTGTTAAAACATCCTGAAAAGAACAGGGAACAACTAGGGACCAAGGTCATATGAAATTTAAGAACGGTCTATCGAGTTATACTCACGAAATAACAATCTCAGCATGTCATTGGAAAACTCAAGATGGTCACCAGTCAGCCATTTTTCTTATCGGCCATAAAATCAATTGACCACACTAAATTGAGCACAACAAGGGACGAAGGGGAACCAATATGAACAATGCTAAAAATCCCTCCAGTACTGCTTAAGGAATAACGACAACAATCTTTCCTAGACAAGATCCAAAATGGCCGCCATTAGCAATCCTGTTTTTCTGATCAGTGCGAAAAATCAATTTAGTTTATTGTTGCCCCACCTATTTACAACCATGGTCATTTACGGGACGTGCCAGGTTTGGTTGATGGATGAAAGCCGGAGTTACCAGAGAAAAAACAAAAACAAAAAATAAAAACAAGAAAATACCGAAGCCAAAGGTAGGCATTGAACCCGCGACCCAGATATGGAGAACAAGTGATAAAGACGCTTAGAGGTTTTAACCACTGCCACGAACCCCGCCCCATCAGTCCTATGATATAGAGTGGGGTCAACAAGGAGCCAGCATGAAGCTAAATATGGAATTTGGAAGAGGTTGGGCAATGTACGTCTAGGGACCTCGAAGAGGGAGCGGAAAAATTGTCTGATAGTTTACAGTACTTTTTTTCAAAACGACTATTAAATATAAATTTTCATTGAATAAAACAAGCCGCAAAGACGTTGTGGTGGGTTCAGATGTATATACTGCAATATGGTTGTATTCCAAATTTGATTCGAATTCCAATTAAAGTTGATAAGAAACCGAGTTAAACGGGAAAAAATGTTTAAGTGTTATGTTCACGCAGAGTTTTAGGGGAAAAAGATACGTCGGATTGGCTGAATGTGTTAGTAAAACGCAAGATCAGAGGTATCCGTTCGGCACTACAAAGGTTTACATGTCTAAATAAACATTTACTTGAGCAGATGTTGTTTAGAACTATAACCCGTGACTAGAAATACAATGTAAGTGTCGCCAGAACATTGACATTCGTTGGTGAGAATAACAAAAAAAAAAAAAAAAACTCTATCGCATAGAGCAGTGTTACAACATGCATAATAAAATCTTTGAAAGGTTGAGTGTACCGTTCACGGCCTCTTGACGATGTTCTGTCATCCGAAAATGCTCTCAGTTTGTTTATGATTGTAGCAGATACCATAACATCCCGACCATTAATAC